AAGATTGCTAGTAGTTAAAAGCCTAACTTGGAAATAGTAGGTCACTAACTGTTGTGTAGTATTTTCAGCTGAACGCATGAGGTGAGCCACGCACTTTCGAAGGCCTAAGCTGAATCTCAAACTGTGTTGATCATCATCTGCTCTCCCGTGATTGGTTGACACGACACTTTGCTGATTTGCTGAGGTTGTCATTTAATTAGAGAGTAATGACTCTCTGCATCTGATATCTTTATTTTTTCACTGATAAGGCAATCTTTAATGCCAAGTGGCAGGGGAAACCGTGGCTGCAAATCTGACATATCATCCATCACTTGAGAATTTCCATCATTATGTCGCTTTAAAACCTCCTTGTGCACAAAAACTGGGAAATTGTCTCAGTTAACTTGTTAAAAAGCAAATTTTGTCAACCCACAGCAGGGAATTTGTACATTTCGCCCTAACACCTTCCACAAATGATACATACAACCGCCTCTAGAAAAGAAATACTTATTCTCATTACAAAATAAACACCTCCTTCTATGAATCCAACTTTTGTTAATAGAACATTCCTCTTAGTTCCCCACATTAAAACGCGACATACAAATGCCCAGCTGACACAACATTTCTGTCCCACTACTACCACTACCACAACCTACTATCGTTTAATCTAATAAAATCCTCAACTACTTCATAATTCACTTCCCACTAACTGTTTGATTGGACGGACTGTTTTTTCTTTACAGTGTTGTACCTGACCATTATCAGACATTCATTGTTCATTATCAGTATATTATCGCTATCATTATCCCCAACCAGCTCATAGTTTTTCATCACGTCATCCACTATATACAACTGAGTTTCGATATCTGAGTCTAACCAATCAATGTTCTTTTCTTCTTTGTATTCCTCGTCCTTCTCCATTCATATAACCTTGAATTTTAGTCAAGCCATCTTCATAGAAATTTAAATTATATCATAGCTGTCTGTCGTTACTGTCTTTATCACCCACACCTACTCTTAGATAACTACTGTTGCCACTACCAGAACCAACGTCGCATTACTGAGAATTTCATAATCCTTATTTGGGTCTTCAAATTGAAAGTCTGTGCCATTCATAAATTCGGTGATATCTCCGTCGGAGGTGTCTCTTAGATTAATAGAAGCTTGATATAAGGGGTTTGTTGAAAATAATTGTGGTTCATAATGTCGTCTATGTAGCTTATTGTATACGAAGGCATAGAAATGAAGAGGCAGTATTATGTCTCAAGAGTACGCGGACTAGTTTCTCACACCTCTCCTCTCCCGCACTCAAGCGGAAAATGGAACAACTTTCAACTGTTGATTAATAAAGTTTCAAAGTTAACGCTAACACTAACGTTAATGTGTAGGGTTTAAAACCAAATTTATTTTATACTATCAAGTATAACAGTAGCAGTTTGAACTTCTGAATAAAGCGTAACATTTCATCTAACTCTTAACATAATTGTTGTAAAGTTTTTTTTATATGATAAAAGTAAAGTTGTTATTCAAATAAATCAAGGCGCATATAAATCTCGAAATCTTGCTGTATGTTGCGCCGTTGAAAAGTAGATACCGGTTTCTCGTACACATTACCCCGATAATACGTAACAGTAATAGGAAACAATAGTAATAACAAGATGCAGTAAGTACCATAAATAACTAGCAACAATATTTGCATTAATATATTGCATGTCTTGAAAAAGTGCGACAAGTAAATTGTCCATAATCAATCCGTTTTACACCAGTTGGAAAATTTTCAATCTTCAAGTTATGTTCCATAATGTTTAACTTTTCTTCCGAATATAAACAAACCCAATATAGATCGACTGATGACTAAAATCATTTACGAATTAGAAATAATTGAATACATGTCAATAAATAAATAAGACATACTTACATGAGTAAAAATGTCTATAATAATGTCATCTTCAGACAAAATGTTAACTGCGCATGGTAAAATGTATTCAGTACGGTTGATGTTAAGTTCAATGTCCGTCTTATATTGCATCTCCTCAGTCGATGTTTTTATTGTCATCTACAAATCAAAATATTTATATTAGTACATACAATTATGACCACAATCAACAATATTATCTTAATACTGACTTTCATTGTAATTGCATTTGATTTCCAATAATTCTCCAACAAAATGCCGAGTTTGTATTTATTTGGAGGTACTTTGAATATTGGTATTGTTACCTAATATATAATTGT